GGGCACAACTAAAATCTGGGGGGCATAGCCCACCCCAGCACCCCCCCTAGATCCGAGGTTGGCCACAGAACCTTCAAGATTTGTGTAAAAGAAAGGGCTAAAATCACACCTGAGCAATGCATCCCACTAGTCTTGAAGCTGTCATTACCAACAAAGAATTTTGGACCAAGTATTAAATAAATTTCAGTTAGCGTGTTCAATATTTTTCCCGTGTCATTCCATTTTATTACACATAACTTAATTTCTGAATGTATCTGTTTTGGCTTCTTTGTATGTATGACTTGCATGGGTTGTTACCGACATGTGGTGAAAATGCCATGTCAATAGCACCTTTAGAAATGTATTTACTGAGAAAAATGGTGACTTGTTCAATACTTATTGTACCCGCTGTGTGTGCCTAAAGTACAATACCTTACCTTGTAAAACAATCCATTCAGTTTAAAATAGAAATGAAAGGCAAAACATTTGTGTATATATTTAAAAAGTTATAAATACCTGTTTTTCTTTATTTTGTAAGTGATCACATAACCTCTGTTCTCAGCTGTTCTCAGTCTGCATTCTAAGAGACTTAGATAGCTGGAGAAGCAGCAGTACACTGATCTTCCCAGTGAATGGCTGTGCAGAGGGGCATGTCAGCACAAGTCTGAGCATTGGAGGACAGGCAGCACAACCAGAAAATGGACCACAGTGAGATGGATGACCTCTCATGCTTATCATGGTCAGTTTGAAATATGTAAGCAGGGGAACTAGCAGGATCACCAGGAATTTCACACAAATGAAGAAACACTGCTTGAATACGATCAGCATGTTGGATATTTAACATGTGATTATTACCAATGGCTATAGCCGTTAACAATAATCATTGTGTTCTGTGGAGGAAAATCTGGAGGAACATAGACAACAATAAAAAGCAGACAGGGGTCCTAACTTTTCCCTACTCCAATGAAAAAGCATATATTTATTTATTTATTTCAGGTACTTATATAGCGCTGTCAATTTGTGCAGCGCTTTACACATATATATATTGTACATTCACATCAGTCCCTAACCCTCAAGGTCCCGAACTTACATTCATACATATACTAGGGCCAATTTAGTCTTTGGAGAGTGGGAGGAAACCGGAGTACCCGGATGAAACCCACGCAGGCACAGGGAGAACATGCAAACTCCATGCAGGTGGTGCTGTGGCTGGGATTCAAACCAATGACCCTAGTACTGCCAGGCGGAAGTGCTAACCATTTAGCCACTGTGCTGCCCAATAGTAATATATTATAATATAGTATTTCTGTTTGATTCGCTGTTAGAGATTCATACTTACTCTCTGGTGAAAGAGCAGAAGAGAGGAATAGAGGAAGTGAGGGGAAGTATTTTTAACACAGCTCCAGATAGCAGTAAAAACCTGTCAGACATTCTAGACCTCCACTCAGTCCGATTATAAAAAAAACAAACAAAGTTTGGCTTTGCAGATATTTATTTATCTATATATTGTATATATTTGCATATTTTGCATTTCCTGCAGTATGTCCTCAGTCTCTGACCCAGGGGTGTATTTACTACAAGGCAAACAAGGCATTTGCCTAGGGAGGTATTTTTTTTAGGGGGTAGCACTGCCCCCTGGAAGAAGGAATATATGTGGCATGGGGACCAGGTGGTATCCGAGAGAGGCTGCTTGATGGTGTATGCAGAGCCCAACTGTTATTCCCAGGGATGTCCAGAGCTGTGAAGGTGAGTACCTTTCTCTCTGTCTCCATGGGGGGGGGAGGTGTTAGGCTCTTTCTGTGGCAATCTTACACCCAGAGACTGATGCAACCCTCCATTTTGTCAAGAATTCTCTATGTTCTCCCCTCATTCTCCCCCTCCCCCTCCCCCTCTGTTAATCCACAGGGACATATGTGTGTTGAAAGTGTCACAGGCCAGAGCCCAGCAGGGAGCCCAGAGCTATACACCTCTCTGAGCGAAGTTCCTGGTTGCCTGAGAGAGCTGTGCAATATCACACCTTGTAAAAGATAACACAAGCCTTCCCAGGAGTTCAAGGCATTCCAAGGAAGCACAAACCAGATAAACACTTTTAAAATCCATTTTTCCCCTATGTTTCATATCTTGGAATATGTGAGACTTACATAAAAACCAGGCATATCGTCAGATTGGCCAAGAGGAGGCGAACAGTTTGATAGGTCACTCTCCTTGGCTGGAATACATAGGAAAGCAGATCTTGTGAACCATTCACTGTAGAATTTCATATGTCATATATAATCAATCCTCAGACGTGTCTGTATAATGATCTACCCACGGGTGGTGTGTCACTTGTGCATAGGAAAAGTTATGAGCCAAAATATGAACTAGAAGACATTTTGGCTCTAGTTTAGGTCTACGCCCAGACCTTCCCACCCTAAACGGGGTATTGGTCCTTGACTCCAGAGACACCCCCTGCTGGGGAACTACAAAATGAGCTGTCAGGCCTAAGAAAGTTAAGTTGAAGAATTCTCCCTTTTAACATCAGGACCACCTGGGGAGACCCATGCCCTTTCGCTCTGAAACTTGATCTGCTAACCCAGGACTTTGGCAAGTACTTTAACCCTCTAACTTCTCTCTGTTATCTCTTTCCTGTGCTGTTGTTCTCTGTATATTTATATATATATCGGTTACATCTTTTTTCTGTAAATATTTTTATTGCACCCTTTTGACCTTTTAGTAATAAATCTTTCCTTCTGAAAGTGTTGAACTGTTTCTATAGCTCGTTAGTGCAATTTACGAACTCTAAAAAGAGCGCTACTGTGTTTGTTTAACCCTCTGTATAACCGGCCTGCGGTGACAGTGTTATACAGACGATTATCTCAACCATTATAGTGTTATAGCTGATATCACCGAGTTTCCTCTTTCTCTGTACAAAAAGGAGGTGGTAGCAGTGTGAAGGGTTAATTGCGTAATTAACCTGACCCAGTAACAATCGCTCCCAAGCTGCTGGTACATAGATTGTGGTCCAATTAGCTGGAAAATCGTTGTGCAGGGTGCAGCTGGGCGTGGCATTGTTACGCACGTGACATCGCGATTTTAGATTGGCTAGTACTTCGGTCACGAGTTTGGTGAGAAGGTCAGGGGTCTGACGCCGCGATCGTCACACTTTCCATGGTGGGGGGGCTGTTGTCAGGTTCTATCTCTCTGCCGGTGAGGAGGGGGTCCGATTTTTGTGTTGCCTAGTGCAGCACAAATCCTAAATACACCACTGCTCTGACCATCTACTGTAGCATGTCTGCAGTTACTGACCATCTCTTCTCATATGTTTGCAGTCTCTGACCATCTTTTGTAGCATATTTTTAGTTCCTATCTCTTTCAGCATGTCTTTAATCTCTGACTATCCCCTGTATTATGTCTGTTGTGTCTGACCATCTCTTCTAGTATGTCTGCAGTCTCTGACCATCTCTTGTAATACTTCTGCGGTCTCTGACCATCTCTTCTAGTATGTCTGTGATCTCTGACCATCTCCTGTAATGTCTGCAGTCTCTGACCATCTCCTGTAGTATGTCTGCCATCTCTGACCATCTCCTGTAGTATGTCTGCCATCTCTCACCATCTCCTGTACTATGTCTGCAGTCTCTGACCATCTCCTGTAATTTACAGTCTCTGACCATCTTCTGTAGTATGTCTGCAGTCTCTGACCATCCCTTCTAGTATGTCTGCAGTCTCTGACCATCTCCTGTAGTATGTCTGCAGTCTCTGACCATCCCTTCTAGTATGTCTGCAGTCACTGACCATCTCCTGCAATATGTCTGCAGTTTCTGACCATCTCCTGCACTATGTCTGCAGTCTCTGACCATCTCCTGTAATATGTTTGCAGGCTCTGAACATTTCCTGTAATATGTCTGCAGTCCCTGACCATCCCTTCTAGTATGACTGCAGTCTCTGACCATCTCCTGTACTATATCTGCAGTCTCTAACCATCCCTTCTAGTATGTCTGAAGTCTCTGACCATCTCCTGCACTATGCAGTCTCTGACCATCTCCTGCAGTATGTCTGCAGTCCCTGACCATCCCTTCTAATATGTCTGCAGTCTCTGATCATCTCCTGTAACATGTATGCAGTCCCTGACCATCCCTTCAAGTATGTCTGCAGTCTCTGACCATCTCCTGTAATATGTCTGTGGTCTCTGACCATCTCTTCTAGTATATCTTCAGTCTCTGACCATCCCTTCTAGTATGTATGCAGTCTCTGACCATCTCATGCAGCATGTCTGCAGTCTCTGACCACCTCCTGTAGTGTGTCTGCAATATATGACCATCTCCTACAGTATGTCTGCAGTCTCTGATCATTTCCTGTACTCAGGGGCGGACTGACCATTTGGAAACTCGGTCACTGCCCGAGGTCAGTAGGGGGCCCCATGAGAAGCCCCTGGTACCTTTTTCATAGGCTTTTTTGAGTTTGGGCAAGGACACAGAGGCCCCATGATCCCCTATTTCCCGGGGGCCCCATGAGTTGTCAGTCCGCCCCTGCCTGTACTATGTCTGCAGTCTCTGACCACCTCCTGTAATATGTCTTCAGTCCCTATCTCTTTGGAGCATTACATCACATTGAATCCCTATATCAGGAAAGTCGCCCCCCTTGCTCCAGCCTTCTCCCGGTCTCCCCTTTGCACCCATTGCTCACAATGTAACATTCCTCGGAGCTCCTACTCCTTCAGTAAATGACATTTTCTCCGATGTGGCCAATGTGTCTTTGGCAGTGTGATGTGCGCGGGGTGGGCGGGGCTCTGGTGACGTCACGGCTCGAGTTACTTAGCCGGACTTGGAGTGCTGGGTGCTCGGCAGACGGATAGAGTTGGTTGGAGAAGACGGAGGAGCGGTGCGGGGCGCAGAGTGTGGAGTGCGGGGCACAGGGCAGGAGATCTCCGCACAGCATGCTGCAGACCAGGCGCTGAGCCGACCGCCTGTGCTGGGAGTGTTGGCATCCTCGGAGGGGCCGGTCCATGGTGGAGCAGACAGCGGACAGCGGATGCCCTTGTTAGGATGAAGCCGCTCCTAGGCGCATCGGAGCTCTCGGGGCAGGACGGCTCTCCCCGGCGCAGGGACAAGGCGGAGGAGTCGGAGCGGCACCGGACCCGGGAGCGCCTGGAAGCCACCCTGGCCGGCCTGGGCGAGCTGGCGTACCTGCGGCACCGGCAGGAGATCCTGGTGAAGGCAGCGCTGAGCCCCGGGGTGGCCGCAGCTTGTACTGACCCGGCCGGGAGAGGTGACAGCCCCCGGAGCCTGGAGGAGCGCTTCCTGGAGGAAAATATTCTGCTGCTCAAAAAACAATTGGTAGGTAGTCCGCCGGGTGCTGTGTGTGTGCCGTACACCCGTACTGGGGACTGCCATGGCTGTGCACTCTACTCCTTCCAGATGGCTTCAAGAGACAGCTTGCTGCTGCTGGCCATATGAGCCATACTGAACCTCCAATCCATTTCTATATACTGGATAATATTACCAGATCTGCAACGGTGTGGCTGGAAATCGGGGACCCCCCCCCACAAAAAAGGGGAGTCCCTGACCACACCTGTATGATTTGTCACATGACAAGAAGAATCCCCTTATTGGCTATGGGGGGGACATTTACGCACTTTTGTGCAGCTTGAACCAAGGCGGTGGGGTTCTTGTGGTGCAATATGTTTTGGGTCCTCTAGACATGACAATGTGGGGAACAAATAAAAATGCAGAAGTGCCCCCCCCAGCATTAAGTCTGCGCTCACACTCCTGCGCAGATCGCATACCAAGCAAATTTATTTATTGCGCCTTGCAAGCATTGTGCAAGTGCTTTTGCTCATGTGTCTAGGTCCAGTGTATATAAACACTCCACAGCGCAAAGAATATAGGTCCAGTATATGTCTCCTGGGTCAGGCAAGGGGGAGAGAGCTGCTCTAGAAGGGGTTTTCAGATGCAGGAACATTTATAGGCGTAGCCATTGAAATCTATGGGGGGGGTGCTTCAATATGCTGTACTTTCATTTCACATAGGGCAACGGTTAGAATGGGATTCTGCATATTGAGCGTAGTCAGGCGTAGGAGTGAGAGCATAAAAATGTGAATAGGGGGCTTATTGTCTATGGGGGGGGCCTATTGTCTATGGAGCTTGTTCCCACCTATGCAGCACACTTTCATACAGCTTGAATAGAGGTGCAGGTGCTTGTTTGGGCACATTTTAGGTTCCATAGACGCTAAAAGAGCGAGCATGAAAAAATGTGGCAAAAAATGTAGAAGTGATCCGACTCCCCTAGGAGAAGGAGTATATATGTTTGAGTGTTCTCAGAGGGCATGGCGACCTGTGCGATTTTTAGTCGTGTGGATGAGTGTTTGCAATCTGGCATCTTTTCGCTTTGTTTGCGTCCAATGGATTAGCAGACACAGAGAATAGTGTGCTGTGATCTGCCATCACATCGTAGTGCGGATCAGGCGTATGGCAGATCTAGGATCTGTAGACTGGGAAGGTATACATTTATTTATTTCAGGTACTTGTATAGCGCCGTCAATTTACACAGCACTTTACATATATATATATATATATATATATATATATATATATATATATATATATATATATATATATATATATATTGTACATTCACATTGATTTATCAGACGTTTTGGTGACTTTCTCCGTATTCCAGGCTGTCCATAGTACAAACTCATTTTGTTTTTTCCATTTTTTGTTTTTTTTTTTCTAGAATGTTTGAGGTTATGATTTGCATTTGTAGTTGTGCTCTTCTTATGTTACAATTAAGATAGGGGGGGTTAGTATGGTTTGCAGAGGAAATAGTATATTCATTTTTGTTGCAGTTTTTGGGTATTTAAGCCAGGTGAGCAGTTTTGCTTGCTGACTTTTATGGGTAAATTATTATTATTATTCAGGATTTATATAGCGCCAACAGTTTGCTCAGCGCTTGTATATAATGTAGGATTGTATTCTGGCAGCTGATGGGGGAAGGGAACGGGGGGGGGGGGGGGGTAGATGAGCATTCACTGTAATATATTCATGCAGGGGTCTGCTAATGTACTTGGGGTCTGAACTGCAGGTATTTAGAGGGAACAAAGAGCCTTGTACTGTTCTGCGTACTGCTGAGGCTGGTCTTCTCAATGACCCTCTATCCCCAGCTGATCCTTTCAGTTGTCCCCCATGTAATCCAGAGGTTAGCCTGACGCCCAGCAGTCCTGCACAGGGAGCTGCTAACCCTGGCCAGCTTCCCTTTCTGTAATATGACCGTTTGGGGATTTGTAGCCATAGGCATAATCTTCCAGTAGACAGTCCTTTTTCACTACCAACAGCACAGTTAATGTAACAGAAGATATTCTGAAAATTGGTGTTGGAAAGGTTTTAATTCTGCCCGGATAACGGATTTGAGGTTCCTTAGGCAAAAAACAAAAAAAGAATGGAGTCCTTATTTGGAAGAAAATCTGTGAAGGAAATGTGGCCACTAGAGGATGCCAGTGGGGCATTGTAGAAGCCGGGTGGCTCTGATCTCTTCAAGGAGAACATCCTTCTCTTTAAGCCCTGGGCAAGCCAGTTATTTTCAGTAGGGTTCTATGTCAGTTGAGAGCATAGCCAATACAAAGAGCTACCCCATATGTGCAAACCAATTAACTTCTTTTCCTTCAAGAGCACATAGCTATTGATTAGTCTGTCACCAGGTACAATCTATGGTTTATCAGCCTCCCCCGCAACAAAATAAATTTCTGATACGGTTGGAAATGAGATTATTCTGCCAACGTGCTTTGTTTCTCAGATTGCCTTTAGTAAGATGATCCATAGCTATCCACAGATAAAAAAGTGATTTTAGCTGATAAATGTACACAATACTGCGTATACCATGCATCAGGCTATCTTGTAAATTGCGTTTTTAGATATGACCTATAGATTCTGTAGAACTCATTTTCTAGATAGAATCTGTAGAAATATCATGGCAGAATATGTAATGTTTATTTAAGTTCCAGTTGTTCCAAAATGCCTTTGTATGTTTAAAATTCCCTCCATTCTTCATTTTATTTATTTTTGTGTTTTATAAAGATCCACCATGTTTTGCAGTGCTACAAACGTTTACAGGTATCAGTAATACAAAATACACAACATTTCTAATATACAAAATGTATTTGTCAGCTGCATGCAGCTGTTTGGCAAAAATCAAGACTTAATCTATGTATATGTGTGTGAATATATAATAAAAAAAAAAAAAAAGTGTGTGTGTGTGTGTGTGTGTGTGTGTGTGTGTGTGTGTGTGTGTGTGTGTGTGTGTGTGTGTGTGTGTGTGTGTGTGTGTGTGTGTGTGTGTGTGTGTGTGTGTGTGTGTGTGTGTGTGTGTGTGTGTGTGTGTGTGTGTGTGTGTGTGTGTGTGTGTGTGTGTGTGTGTGTGTGTGTGTGTGTGTGTGTGTATAAAATGAGATTTAACTTGTATTTGTGTTGGCCTCTCCTCTGGCAAATGCTAATCAATGCACTCTCTCTCCTAGAACTGTTTACGAAAGAGGGATGCTGGCCTGTTAAGTCAGCTGCATGAACTGGACAAGCAGATTAATGACCTGAAGCTCGATGTAGAGAAGACGGCTGAGGAACATCTTGAGACGGACAGCCGACCCAGTTCAGGTAAGCTGATACTTTGGAAACAGTACAGATTTCCTTGCAAAGGAAATTCCTAAAGAATCCTTTTGTCTGAGGGGCTTTTTTTTTTTTTTTTTTTTTTTCTCTGCCTCAAGCTTTGGAAAAATCAAGCCTTTAAATGATTTAATAAAGCAATGTGTTACTTTTCAAAGTAAAGAAATGCTTGCCAGTTTGACCACTTTTAGTTTAAGTCCCCTGTCACATTGTTGCAATTTGATAGTTTCAAATCGCATGACAAGTCACACCCTATTGTCCGCAGTGGAAGCGCTCATATCGGTGCAATTCCAACTGCATTGGAGTTGCACCGATTTTGAAAGTACTTTGTGAACTGCTTTTTGCAAGTTCAAGTGCGACTTGCATAGACATCTGTGCATGAAGTCGCTCAGATGTCTTCCAAGTTGGACTGACATCCGACTTTGAAATCTTGCAAATTTAAGTGAAGTCGCATGATTTCAAAGTTGGATTCGGTGTGACCGAAGACTAGAGCAATAAGGACAGACCATGAGAGATGTGGTGTGTGTGCTCCGGCATTTGCTTTTTGCCTTGTTGACTAACGCTAACCTCTAAATGGTCAGGGCTCTGGAAGATCAATTTATAACATGATATGCATATGTGCCTGTCAGGGGAGATGCATATAAAGGTTTTGCCCTGCACTGGCTAGTGTCTTAGAAGAAAAAAGGAATAACTGCACGCATTTTCTAGTTGCTATGATAAGACCCGAGTTGATGTTGAAAATAAAAAGGCCCAGGTTCATTATTTTGGCACAGTTGGTTTTGGCCAAAGCAGAGCTATCTTCTCCTCCTTGAAAGGCTAGATCTCAATGGGAATACAGACTTAAGTTTTTTTGTTGCACTTTATCACAATAGTCTAAACTAGGTTGGGGTCCATAAAGTGAGAATCTATTCTGTAAAGAGCCAGGGCTTGTTCATTTTAGTTAACAGAGGTTGTGTGCCCATGGCCTCCATGGATAGATACTTGGCAGTGGTCATATTATTCTGGTGGCTGGAACTGCTTTACCCCTACTTTCCTTGGATAGTCAATTTGTTGGATGTTCTTCAGAATATGTAACCGGGCTACATGGTGCATGAATACATTTATTAATAGAAATTGTAGAGTGTAAGAATTGATGGTCTCTTTTAGAAGGCACAAACTGTGGCTGACTCCCGAAATTTGCCTTCTTTGGAACTAACTCTGCTTCTGGTTTAGCGCCAGTGTATGGTGCCACAAGGTTCCTTGCTGCATTTGAATGTTAATAGTGCTGGAGGGATTGTAACTGAAAGCAAATATTCTGACAACATTCCTCTTGGATTTTGCTACTTTAAGGCAGTGGTCTCCAAACTGTGGCCTGGGGGCCAGATGCAGCCCTTTTGATTGCCTTTATCTAGCCCTTGGGGCACTATTCTTCCCACTGATATGAGGCACCAATTCCTTCCACTAACACAAACATTAGGACATAATTCCTCCCACCGATATAAACTACAGAACACTATTACTAACACTAAAGATGGTGCACGTTTCCTCCCACTGGTACCAACATTGGGGTACTGTTCCTGCCACTGACATGAACAATGGGGCATAATTCTATCCACTAATACAAAATACAGAGCACTATTACTCCTGCTAACACTAAAGATGGTGCACTTTTCCTCCCATTGATGCCATTGATGGTGCACTATTCCTGCCACTGATGCCAATGCTGGAGCACCAGTCCTTGCCTGACACTAATGTTGGGACATCGGTCCTTCCACTGACACCTGTATTGGGGCAAGTTTTCTTTCATTAATACCAGTGTTGGGGAACCATTCCTTCCACTGACAGCAATGTTTGGGGTACTATTCCTTTCACTGATACCAATAATAGGGTGCTTTTCCTTCTACTGATGCCAATGATTGGGCACTATTTCTTCTGCATTTTCCACTCCCACTGGTTAGTCTGGCCCCCCTAAAGTCAGAAGACTAGAAAACTGGCCCTTTGTTTAGAAGGTTTGGAGACCCCTGCTTTAAGGCATGGACCTCCGGGGTATTTATAGATGATAGTGCATTACGTGCCGAAGAGGAGACTTGACAATTCAAACAAACACTGATCATCCTTGGACACTGCTAGAACTGTTGTATATTTTGAACAAAAGACAATTACTTGTTATGTGTTTTTTGGTTTTTGTTTGTTTTTTGTTACTTTACGCTAAATCTCTGGTAACAAAGCATTTTAATGTATTCTTTTGTTCTTTGTAAGTCAACAGTAATTTATTTGTACATCTGCAATGGATTTGTTTTCTGAGAGTGTATTTTATTTTTAGGATTCTATGAGCTGAGTGATGGGACGTCAGGATCACTCTCCAATTCCTCAAACTCTGTCTTCAGCGAGTGTTTATCCAGCTGTCAGTCCAGCACCTGCTTTTGCAGCCCCCTAGAAGCATCATTAAATCTTACAGATGGTCAGCCAAGATCAGCAGGTAAGGCAATGTCTGTTCTTCAACCCAAACCTCCCCCCTTTTTAGTGTGGGTTTTTTTTTTTTTTTTTTTTTTAGGACTTTTATCCTATCTTCTTTTAGCTTTGGAGCCTTATCCCATTTTCCACCATGAATCTGAAGTCTTTCTGCATCTTATGATGTTTTAAAGGAAAGAAAGGCATAGCTGTGGCAGCTGGGTGGACCCGAGAACTTAATCACAGGGATCTTGCCTCCAGATTCTCAGAGAGCTGCTAGAAGCTAGTGGGGGTTATTCATCCCACTGGCATCTCATAAGAGATGGCAGATCTGTATTTGGAAGGGGAGTGAGCTTTGATATGTGTGTTCGTGTGGTGTGTTTTTTTTATATATTTTTGTATGTGCACGTTTTTTGCTATTATGTATATAATTGTTTAAATTTGCTATAACTGGAACATTTTGCATCTAAACCTATTCTGTGACATTTCACAAATTTTGACAAAATGGTAACTCTTGTCAAATGGTGGAAAGGTGTTTTGGTCCTTTTTTTAACAAGGCACTCTTCTTCACTGGAATATATTTGCGCTTTTTTTTTTTTTTTTTTTTTTTTTTTTTTAATAAATTCTGTTAATGAGCCCTACTAATGCTATTCACTCCTTGTTTTTAGTGGACAAATATGTCACTATTTGGAAAGCAGTGTCATATAGGTTAGATCTACCAGGATGTTGGTATATTTGGAACTCCTTGGTTACAGCACAGTTCCTGCTTGCTGGTTTAGAAAAGTGTTTTTAATATTATACATATTTTACTATTGTGATTGTTGGTATTAAGGATTCCTATTCAGCAGGAAAGGACCTTTCACTATTAAAGCCAGTTTTGGTTATCGTACAGTCTAATATTCCAATAACCTACTATAGGGCTATGATAATCGGAAGCACATTCTACTGCTTTAATTTGTAGGGTGAAGGAGAAGCTCTTGTACAAGCTGAAAACCCAATACATACATAGTAAATATACCAACCATATACAGATGTACTGATAGACTGTTGTTGTTGCAATTGGACAGATCATGATGTATATTGTAATGTGCCCTGTACCAACTTGATATGCCAATTGCTATGTATATATGTTCTATATAATCCAAAATGTCCATACTTTCATATTAATGCTTATCTTCCAATATCTTTCAGAAGACTTCTTTGAATGGTTGGACTACAGGGAAGGCCAGTGTGAAAGTACAGGCACGGTGAGGCGATCTTTTTCCGCACCCCAGTCTAACACCGCTGAAGTTGTTGCTGATGTTCATCCCAAGTACCAGTGTGATCTAGTCTCTAAAAATGGCAATGATGTCTATCGATACCCAAGCCCTCTTCATGCGGTGGCTGTGCAGAGCCCAATGTTTTTGTTGTCAATGATGGGCAATATGAAGGTGGAGGAGGAGGGGGAGATGGGAGCCAATATGAATGACTGCTTAGTGCCTGAACTTGATGTACTAAAACCTGAAGACTCTTTGCTGCCACAGAGTAGTCCTTGCTCTGTTCCTTTTTCCCAGTAAAAAATTGGATGGGTACATTTTAAGTGTCATACAGAAAAAATCACATCCCATAAGGACTAACAAACCTCGAACAAGTGTAAATGTAGACCCAGCCAAAGGCATTTTACGACATGGAAGTATATGTGTTAAACAGACTGGTGGCATCACTCATAACAGCACCACTAACCTGAAGAATTCTAAACAGCCATGTTTACATTCCTCTGGAATAACCTCTGTGGATAATGGCACTTACCCTGCTCAAAAACTGTGCTTGAAAGAAACTCAAAGTGAACAGCTGGAGAAAAAAATGCCATTGGCTTCCAGCTACCAGCCAAGTAACATTAATGAACTACAAAGCCAAAACAATTCACGGAACGTTGTGAAGTCTGTCCCTCAAAATCTTACAAGGGGCCCTGGGATTGGCACATCAAACATTCAAAAGGAACTACATGTAAATCCTAATCCAGTTGCCAGTCATTTTTCCAACGTTACCAGTCCTCTTTGTAATGGATCTCCCAAGGGAACTCATAAGATCACTTCACTTCCTCAGGAAGTTAAAATTGTACAACCACCAAAAAGAATTTCACCCAAAAACACAATCAACTCTTATACATCTCACGATGAGAGGCCACCGCTTGACTTCAAGAGTGAGGGGTCTTCTTCTCAGAGCCTGGATGAAGGACTTTTGGTAAATGCACATTATATACCAGCCCAACAACAGGGCGTTAAACTCCATAAGTCAATCAAAAATGTGAAGATTGTCAAGAGCTCAACTTTAAAACACCGATCCAGTATTCAGCATGTTGTGGAAAATGGTTCTCAGACGCTGAAAGAAAAGAGCAAGGTGGTAACTAAAAAATGCCGTTTTCCTGATGACTTGGATACAAATAAAAAAGTAAGAAAGATCTCTCCAAGAAGTAAGAAGGTTGTAGAAAGTGGTAATGTGGGAAAAACTGCAGGTGCTAGCAAACCTACTAGCAAGCCTCATGGACATGCAAAGGATGTAGTGTTGGCCAAACCCAGACACAAGAGGGGTGATTACCGTAGGTGGAAGTCATCAGCTGAAATTTCTTATGAAGAGGCCTTACGGAGAGCGAGGCGGCGGCACCAAAGGGAGATGGTTGGGCTCTATGCTCAGGTGCCCCTTCCTTATGCCAGCCCATACGCTTATATTGCAAGTGACTCTGAGTACTCTGCAGAATGTGAGTCTCTGTTTCATTCCACTGTTGTAGACACCAGTGAAGATGAACAGAGCAACTATACTACAAACTGTTTTGGCGATAGTGAGTCCAGTTTGAGCGAGGTTGAGTTTGTTGGAGAAAGCACAACATCAAGTGACACTGATGAAAGTGGTGGACTTATCTGGTCGCAGTTTGTACATACCCTTCCGATGCAAACACCCACAGCTGCTGCTCTTCAAACAACAGCCAAAGCTTTTGTCAAAATTAAAGCCTCGCACAACTTGAAGAAGAAAATCCTTCGCTTTCGATCTGGGTCACTAAAGTTAATGACAACAGTTTGAAACATCAAATGTTTTCTTACTGTCCCTGACCCTTGTTGTCTCTGTAAATAAAGCTGTACCATTTGTGCAAATATTTAAAGTTTACAGTAACTTATGTGGACTTCTGAAAACTTCTCTTCTTGTACTGCCTAAATTCTAAGAACTAGCGCAGACCCTGAATCCATTAGTTGGCTATTAAGCAGACTCTGGGAACATTTCCAGAGTACCATCTTAACATGTCTCGACAAAAGGCCTGGAACATACATCAAAATGATTACTCCTTTGAGATTAATCATAAATCTTATTTTTGTCCTTCAATTCTAGTATGCTATCTTAACATTCCATCTGAATCGGCACCTTTTCTGTTTGACAGAAGGAATTACGCATTTGCTGTAAGTTTCCATCTTTCTAGCTGCTCCTCTTTTTAATGAAAGAGATATATAAAAATTTTTTTTTTTTTTTTTTTTTTTTTAAATCTGGTGATGCATTGCAAACTTGACAAAATTGCAAAGTGGTTGAGTATTACACAGATGCACTTGGAGCTCAAAGGCAGGGTCCCTTTCATCAAACATTATGCATGAATAGTATTGGTTTCCATATGCTTTGTACTATGGCTTTTCATGTATACTATAATCACTTGTATTTTATAAATTTTGTAAATTATATAACACATTTTACATGGTTATAAACTATCTGCTTTAATGCTGTTTAAATTTATTAAACTGGAAAGGAAAAATATATTGAGTTGTCCGCTTTTTCTCTTCCTTAGTAAAGTATGCTGCTTACATGATAACCGTTTGGTAACCAGATTATCTGAGTTTATGAGAATATTTATTCTTTCAAAGCAGTCTCACATCAGATAACAATCAAGTACATTTAATAGGTTGAAAGAACTTGGTGCTGCTAAATGTGAGCTGCAGCCATAGATGCATTGAATATTTCTTATCTTTTCACTAAGCTTAATATTATAAATACTAGGCTAAAAAGCATACATCTATGTATAATTTCTAAATATCCTTGGAGCAATCATGTTTGCTCATTGTATGCTTGGCAGTGATTCACAATGGTTTTGCTTGATTACAAAGCTTTCAAAAGAGAACTTTAGGAAAGTACTGTTATCCTGTTCACTTACCCCCATCCTGCACCAAAATTGACCCCCTTGACAGCACATACCTGAATTGTATGGCTGGGTAGGGACCGGCCGATTTTCAATCCTAGTATGGGCAGGTTGGTTGTCTAGAAGTCGATCTATTGATCAACATCTGTACAACCAGCCCATTGGGTTTATCCTGATCGATCAGTGCCGCCGGCTACAACCAGCAGCACTTATCAGTGTATTCTGACAGTAGGGAAGTCTCTGCTGTCAGAATACAAGAACTTCAGTGGGAAAATTCCTCCATGTTAATATTAGTACCAATAATATATATATTTTTTTTTTCTCAACCTGCTGGTTGAAGGAAAGAAAATTAATAATTCATGGTGAGCCTGAATATATTTTTCCCTGATGCTATCCTTTTTAAGGTGACCCTCCATTTGTATGAAACTACATTTGTGATAATGGTCAATTTTGATAGACTTTTTTTTTTTTTTTTCCCCAGTTGGTTTGCCCTTCCAGTTTTGTCTGTCTGGCATCTCTCTTGTGAGGGGGATCCTTTTAAACGGTGACAAAAGTAGCCATTAAAAGTGGACCTGAGAGTCTAAATTTTCCGAACATTGAATGAAAAGATAAAGATAGACTTGGCTGTAATTGTTTTAAAATGATCATTTTATATGTTAATACAAAAGAAATGGAACTTACACTATACATATATGGTACATCCATAGAACACTTTTTGCATTGACTGTCTAACAGTTTTTTGTTTGTGCGTGTGGTTTTTTTTTTTTTTTTTTTTTTTTTTCTTATACTATCCTGATGTGTTTTTTTTGGTCAGTAAGTTTTTAGCATTTTATATACACAAAAAACCCTTTTCCAGTGACCGTGACAAAGATTCATTTGTAGATAAAATGCCACGTATTCTACTGTTTAGTAGATCATATTCATTTTGTCCTGCAGAATGAATTTAATTTAAAAGCTGGTGAGTCCCTTTTGGCAAATTCTACATCTGTATCAGAATACTGACTTTTCTACTCGGTGCATTAAGAAATCCTATACTGAAGTAGGAGATTTTAGATTTCCTGTCAATTGTGGAAAAATGTGGTGCCCTCAGGCTATTCTCACATCCAGCCAGTCATAAATTACCATTTTGGCTTTTTTATGTTTTATCTTTGCCTACCATTTTATACATTTAAACAAGGACAATTACACAGGGGTAATGGTATTGACTTTTTCTATATTAATAAAACACTGAATGTTAATTGTGTGCATTCTGAAAACCTCCAAAGCTGTGAGCAAACATGATATGTACTTGGAAAGCTCAGGGCATTGAAAGGTTTTGTGTGGCTTGTACACAGATTAGTGATCCTTGCTGTTGCTGTGAAAGGACAAGGCTTGCGTGAGCCCTTTGTCACACAAAGAGGCATTGTGTCCCTGTTGCAAAAACACTTCACACTTTGAGATTTTTAGGGCTTATTCAGTGGCCTAGTTCAAAGTTCGCTTTTGCCGCGACCTATTGAAAATGTTAGTTTTAGTGTGTTTAAAAAAAAAAAAAAAAGGCATCTAGAGCCGAATCTATACCATACTGAGAATACGGACAGTGGATTTGGTTCAGGTTTTAGTGCATGTGATGATTTCCTTTTTGTGTGTGTGTGTGTGTGTGTGTGTGTGTGTGTGTGTGTGTGTGTGTGTGTGTGTGTGTGTGTGTGTGTGTGTGTGGTTTTTTTCTCAAAAACCTGCTTTAAAAAAAAAAAACAAAAACCCACAACAAACACATTTATACTTGCCTGCTCTGTGCAATGGTTTTGCACAGAGCAGCCCTAATCCTCTGGAGCCAATGGCTTCCACTGGTGTGTGTGTGTGCCAATAAGAGAGAGAGACCTCGGAGAGCCACTGCTCTCATGCATATCGCTGGATGGAGGTTGAGCTCAGGTAAGTATAAAGGGGCTGGGGGCAGGAGGGATGCACCCAGAAGGTTTTTTTTTTTTTTTTTTTAATGCATTAAGGTAAAAACCTTGAGTCTTTATAACCGTTTTTAAAGGATAAAGTCACCTTTTAAAAAAAAAAAAAAAAAAAAAAAAGCATATCTTTTTTGCAGGTAAAATTGTTGTTATTAATAAAGATATATAATTTTTTTTATTTCTTGGAGCCTGTAAAGTTTTGCACCCGCGTTTAGTAGATTGCAGATGCCATGCAGGACGTCTGTAGACTTGTCAGTGTATCTGTGTGCTTGTACGGGCAGGCGGGTACATACTGAGAGCAAGAGACCGTGAACTACCAGAATGTTCAACAGCGCCGTGGTAGTTCATTGAGAACTACAAGCTGACAGCTGCAAAGGCTGTCAGTACTTGTAGTTTCCCACTCACAGAATACTGTGAATGAGTGACATGGCTGTGTGAAATTGTGACAGCTACTGAGGAAGGAAGATCCCCCACAAACTGTCACAATGGGGAGGTGGTCCTACAGTAACCTGTTACATCCCTGAATTTGGGTGTAACATGTTACGAAAAGGTGAACTTATCCGTCAACAGTCCCAGCCACCATAAATGCTTCAGATAGGCCATCTTGTCCTAAATGAATGCTTTAAAGTGACCCTGGCGTTAGACTTTCAACATATAATGTCTGCATAAATCATCACAAACCATACTTTTGTACTGGTATAGCTCTAGAAGCTTTCTATTTATCCCAAATAGCAATGGTCCCCATGTGCTCATTCATGTCCTTTTTAAAACTACATGGTGTGTTTATGTCCTACTGGTAGGATGTGATTATGTAGTCTGAAGGTTTTCCTGTATACTTTGTGCATTCCATGAGATTGTGCAAGACTTGTGAACAGGTATGGGTAATTTCAGGGCTAAATAGTTTGTAGTTGCTATTATCCTTTCAGAAAAGTTGACTTAAAGTAGTAATAATAAAAGAGAAAAAAAAAAAAAAGAACAAAGCAAAGCCATAGGCTTGAGATTTTAGTCAATCATTTGCAAACTAATTATAAAGTGGAGCTGAACCTTTCACTATATAGCACCTAAAATGAAAAATAAGAGAGCAGATTTTCAACAAAATAGATTAACTCGATTTTCTTTTCTTTTTTAAAGATATGTGTATTGAGTTTTAACACAAGAAATACAAATCCCAGGACCAAGGTCCAACAGTTAAAACTGAACAGTCAATGCATCTCACATTGCCATACATGTCTAACATGTCAAAGTATGCAACAAACTGAATCTACTCCAATCAAAAAAACAAAGGGTTAAGGGGGGCTATACCTAACTAAACTTCTGTGGAAAGAACTCACTCAAGATAATGGATCTATAGAAGGCAAATTAAGGGGATTGGAAAGCCATCTGTCCCATATTTTGTGGAATAGTTTGTTTTTTCCTGAGCTCAAAAGTAAGTTTTTATAAAGGGGAAGGGAATCATTGACAAGTTTAAGGCAAGAAGCCACCATGGGTTGACTCGATCCCTTCCAGGACAACAGAATTTATTTTTTTTAAGCATAGAAATATAATATCCAAAGTAATCTTTTAGCGTATTGTGAAAGCACTAGATCCCCAAAAATGCCTAAGAAACAATTCTTGGAATGTAAGACATTAGGTAGGCCCAGTGTGGGGGATATAAAGGAGCCCACCTCCCCCTAAAACTCCTGGACTGTCAGACAGAACCAGAAACAATGCAGGAAGTTGGCCCTATGTCCACAACCTCTGAAACAATCTGTTGTAGGTAGTAAACCCATTTTATATAACCGGACAGGAGTAAGGTGAGAAAGATGGAAAATGTTTAGTTGGATGATTCTATTTTTAGAGGAGATAACAGATTTAATGTAGTTATCACTGAGTTCAGACCAGTCTGCCTCCTCAAATGGTATGTCCATTGAAACCCATTTAGCCTGGGCAACCAGGAATCTAGGATTGGAGTCCATCACCAGAGCAGA